GTCCTCAAGAGAGGGTGACGGAGAAGGGTCCCCTAAGACCTGTGCAAGGTGTAAGGGGGGTTCCCCAGCCAGCCCCAAATCGGGGTTCGGCAAGAAGAGGCCTCTCCAGCAGCTCCGCTGGGGCTGGATTTGACCCCACGCCAAAGCCCACTCGCCATGAGACTAAACACTTGCTTAGCAAAGCTGCCGACAGGGGTCCCAGGGGACCCCTGGGGATGTGTCATCCAGCTCCTGAGCCAGCCCCGAGCTCCGGCAGTGTCACACAGTGAGTGGCTCCGCCGGGGGGGTCTGGATCCGGTCCCCGCCCTCCCCCTGGCTCTTGCTGGTCCACGCCAAATCCCCCGCCGGGCACGGAGGCGATTCTCAGAGCCGAGTCCTGCGACAGAGGTTGCGTTCCTCTAGCCTCCAGCCCATTGTCTTGTTTATTTGTTACGGTTGGTCTCCAATTATGACTTTGAGCCATTTGGGGCAAGGGCTGTTTCTTCCCATGCGAACGTGCGGTTCCTGCGCCACCGAGCTGTGATGTGGTTGGAGACCCGCAGGAGCATCTGCTATTGCAGCAACAGTGCCTGGGGATGAATGCGTTTCAGATGGGCTCAGCTCTTCTTTCCGTGCTCGGGCCGGTGGCCAGCCCAAGACGGTGAGGAAGAGCCACTGGCCGGCCCTCTGGACGCAATGTTCCCCTCCTCAGGGACCCGCTGGGACCTGGCTTGGGGTCAGGGGACTGCTGAGGAGATCATTACCGGCCTAACGTGTGTCCGGAATACCAAGCCCTGGGAGGACCTTCTGGATGGGGAAGGGGTGCCAGCGGGTCCGACCCCAGCCTGGGTGGATGCAGGGGCCGGTGGGATGCTCCAGATGGGATCTTTCAGGGGACAGCCTGGCTGCCGTCCCCATGGGGTTGGCCCCGGTTGGGATGCTCGTGCTGGCTCGAGCCCCGGAGATGCAGCGTTGGGCCCCGCGGGGGATGCGGAGCTGACGGTGTCCCGGCACCGCACCTGCAGCCCACGAAC